GTTGGCGATGCAAATTCAGCAGACCAAGCGGGATCGGCCGGCCATCCCCACGGCGCTCGTGGTTGATGAGGCGCGGCAGTTTTTGCAGGGGATCTCCTGCGTTACCAAGGCGCCAATGCTGCTGCGCGATGCTCGGGTCCGCCTGTGGCAGATTTATCAGTCTTGGACGGGCGCCCTAGAGACACTGGGCGAGCGGGGCGCGGCCGAGATGGAGGCGTGCTCGGTCATGACGTACTTCGGCCTCGACGGCGACTATGAGACGGCCCGGCGCGTCAGCGCGCGGCTGGGCCGCGAGAGCTACCGCCATCGCCAAGGCCTATTCGCGCGAAACCCACAGCGCGAGGACGTTGAACTGATGAGCCCCGACCGCGTCATGCGCGAGCTGTCGGTTCGTAGCCCGCTGGCCTACATGATGGGCCCGGGCATGGAGCCGCTGCGCGTCGAGCGGCTGGCGTTCAAAGCGATGAAGACGCGCGAGGGCTGCCGCTTCCGCGGCTTACCGATGGCCGGCCAGTACGACGAGGGCCTCAGCCGCTATCGCTACGGCGACGGAGCGGCCTGACCGATTTTCTAACCTGCAGGAGATGTGGCGATGAGCGATCGCGGATTTGAGAACGCACCGGACCTTGGCGGCGAATTCGCCGACCACGGCGCGGGCGCGTACGAGGCTCCCATTGCATACGACGCCCGGGACTGGGAGCCGACCGAGGACCCCTCCGAAAAGCATCTCCAGATGCACTACACGCCCGGCGGGATGCTCGAACAAGAAGTCCATTCGCAACTCGACGAAGCGGCGCGGGCGCGGATCGCCGAGGCCCAGCGTGAGCGGGGGGAGGGGCGTGACTTGCCGGACGAGAAAGAGCTCGATTTCGCGGGCGACTTTGAGGAGGCCCGTCATAACGCCTGGGGATGGGACCCCGAGTCGCAGCAAGAGTACGAGAGGCTGAGCGAAGCGGACAACGCTCGGCGCAAAGACGACCCGTTCGAGACCGGTCGTCGCTTCGAGCGCTACCGGGAAGCGGAGTACGGCGACCAAGAACGGTGAAGATCGATCGGCTTGTATGGTGGAGACCTTCGATTATGCCCGACGACAACAAGGGGCCGAATGAGCCAGACAAGCCGCGACGGGATTGGCGGGAACTGGTGTTGGAGCACTTGGAGCTGTCGGGGTCCACCGACCCCGACGCGGTGGCGCGCCGCCGTGAAATCCAAGAGGAGCTATTGAAAGGGCACGCCCGGTACCGGCGCGAGTACTCCCAGTCCTTCGGCCGTCCCGGTCGAGGGCGCGACGACGAATTCGACCGATAAGGATTGGCTCAGGTGTACAACGACGTGCGGGAAGCGGTCGACGGGCTGCGGCGGTTACGCCGCAATCTGGCCGAGCAAATCGAGCGGATCGACGCGGCGCTGGCCCAGCTGGGGGAGGGGGCGCCTAAGACGCGTACGGGGCGGTCCGCCAAGCCCTGCTGCACCAAGAGCGAAGTGATCACGCTGCTCACCGGCCTGCTTCGCGACAACAGAGCGCTCTCCCGCTCGGATTTGGAAGAGCTGGCTAAAGAAAAAATCACTGGCGATTTGGGCAAGAGCCTGAGCGGCTATGCGATGCGGCTCAAGGAGGCCCTGGCCGAGCCGCGTTTCACGGAATTCGCTCCCGGTCAGTACCGCCTCTCACAAGGGTCGGGGGAACCCGAGTAGCGACGCCGGAATGAAGCCTACGTCGTGCGCCGACCGCGTCCGTGGCCAGCGCTTACTCATTGTCGTACTTTGGTGGAGGCCTGCCTCATGGATACGCCGGTCGAAATTCAGCAGGGGTCTCCTGTCGCCCTAACCGACGTGCCGGACCTGCTCCCCCGGCGCCGCGGCAAAAAAGTCCACCCCTCGACCGTCTACCGCTGGGCGACCAAGGGGGCTCGGGGCCGCGTGCTGGAGTCACGACTGGTAGGGGGCGTCCGCTACACGTCGGTCGCCGCGCTGAACCGGTTTCTTGGCACGAGCGCGGTCCAGGCCTGCGACGACCGACGGGCGGGGGCGATCAAGCGAGTTCTCTACGGCGATGCTTGAGACGGTCAGCCGACTTCCAGGGCGACCCGGGCGGCCAGCTGATTGTCGCGTTCGGCGNNCCTGGGTGACATCCGCGGATTCGTGCCCGCAGATCACCTGGGCCGCTTCAAGCCCGTAGCGCTTACGGATCTCGGTAGCGGCCGTGTGCCGCAACTGGTTAGGCGACCAAACGGCGACGTAGGCCTTCCCACAGGCACGCCGGACGGCGAGCCGGTAGCTGGCGACTTGGTAACGATCCCCCGCGACTCGGGTGGGAGAGGGGACACGGTTGCTCCCCGGCCGGTTCCCGCAAGAGGCGGGCGTCGCTCGGCCTTCTCGTTGCCGTCGCCGGGCCCGCGCGACGGACTCCGCCGGCGAGAAGCAGTGGCACTCGGCCGGCCGCAGCAAGTAAGGCGTCAGGACTCGTTGAGCCTTGGGGCCGATGAACACGCTGCGATCCTTCTCGTGATGCTCGGTCTTGTGTTCATCGGGCGAATAGACCCAGACATCGCCGCTGCGGTCGAGGTCGCACGGCCGGAGCGAGCAGACCTCGCCGGGCCGAGAGCCGGTCAGCCGCTGGAAGCGGACCATATCGGCGACGATTGGAGGCAGAAAGGGGAGCGTCTGTTCGATCCTCGGGTCTTCGACGCTCGTCACACCCGTTGTCTCACGAGCGGTCGTTCGCCCTTTCTTGAGCCCGCCGAGGACCGCCAATTGGGCATGGACTGCGGCGGAGCAAATCTCCTTCTTCGCGCCCCACTTGAACATCCCGATGACGCGGGTGACTTGCTTGTTGAGGTGCTTGCGCGACCAGTCTTTGTCAGTGATCAGGCCATCGCGGAAGTTGTCCAGATCGACCGGGCCGAACGCTTCGATATCGTCGTCACCGTGGACTTGGCCCAGCAGCGTCGTGACCTCGACAATCAGCTCCGCCTCGCGCGTCACCTTGCCGTGTTTACGGTAGTAGGCGCGGGCGTGCCGCCAGTAGACGAGGATCAGCTCGTCGAGCGAGACCGTGAGGCCTGCTTTGCGCTTCTGGCGGAGCGACTCGGCCGTGACGGTTGCGGCGACTTCTTCGTCGGTAGGCTCGTTTTCTTCGTCAGCGGGCAGACCCCGCCGACACCACAGGTCGAGCGTCTCTTGGTACCGGCGGCGGCTTTTAGGGGAGCCGTAGGGGCCGAGATAATGGCGCCGTCCGTCGAACTCGACGATGGCCTGGCCGGTGGACTTGTGCCGCCGGTACTTGGGCGGCGTGTGAGAGAGGCGTGGCACGTGCGTTACTCCGCTCAGGACAATCCCAAGCGGGGATGCTGCGAGGGTTTTTAGGCCCTCCATCCCCGCTTGCGCTGTCAATGAGCCGCACGGCCAACCGTTGGCCGGTTACCTAACCAGAGGTATCGGTAGTACTTACGAAAAGTGGCGGGGGCCGGATTCGAACCGACGACCTCGAGGTTATGAGCCTCGCGAGCTACCTGGCTGCTCCACCCCGCGATTGGAATATCAGAAGATACTCCGTCCGAATCGGCTCGGCAAGGCGCCCCGCTGCAACCTTTTCTCCTCCACCTACGGCACACCGTTGATTGCTCGCCGGCGGGGCGGCCGATACGGTTCCTGGGTAGTTCATTGACAGCTCCTGCGAATCCCTCCCAACCACTTGGCGCCCTCCAACGCCGCCGCCGCCGTGCCGCCCCCTCCGCCGCCTCGACTAGGCCGCGACGAGAAGCCTCCCACGAGCGACGGCGACTCCACCGATGATGGCAATCGGGCTTTGGGGCTGAACTCGCGCGCCGGGTGGCTCGATGACGCCCCGGCGTGGCTGGTGAGCGGGATGCTTCATCTGGCGGCTCTCGTGCTGCTCGCGCTATTGGCGATGGGTGTCCATCGCGACGATCCGCTTTCGCTAACCGTTAGCGTCACCGACCAGATCGGCGAGCAACTCATCGACGAGCCGCTCACACTCGACAACACGACCGAGATCGACGTTCAAGAGCAGGTCCTGACGCCCGACTTCCTGCCGGAGGTCCTCGATCCTTTGGCGACGCCGCCCGACACGCCGATTGACCCGACGGGGCTGGCGTTCGCCTCGCAGCTGCCGAGCGTGACGCCGGGCGTGGCGCTCTCGGGGCGAGAGCCGGGGCGCAAAGAAGCGATGCTCCGCGCGTTCGGCGGCACCGCGGCCACGGAGTCCGCGGTGCTCGAAGGGCTCCGATGGCTTCAGCGCGTCCAGCAGAGGGACGGCGGGTGGAGCTTGCTTGGGAATTACTCCAACCCGGCCGCCAATGAGAACCGTGAGGCGGCCACGGCGATGGCGTTGCTCGCGTTCCAGGGCGCCGGCAAGCTGCCGACGAGTTCGCGGGCCGACTTCGGCCAGACGGTCACGCGCGGCTGGCGGTGGCTGCTCGAGCGGCAGAACCCGGACGGTTCGTTCTTCAACAGCGGCGGCAGCAACCACCGCTTCTATACCCATGCCCAATGCACGATCGCGCTGTGTGAGTTGCTGGCGATGACCGGTGATGAAAGCTACCGCAAACCCGCCGAGAAGGCGGTCGCGTACTTGATCGAGACGCAGACGGACCTCGGCGGTTGGAAATACAACCCGATGGTGCAGAGCGACCTGTCGGTCACGGGGTGGGTGTTGATGGCGCTGAAGAGCGCGCGGATGGCGGGCATCGAGGTGCCATCGCCGGTCTTCGCCAAGATTGAGGGCTTCTTCGACCTCGTCCAGCGATCGGACCCCCTGGTCTACGCGCCGCTTGGGTCGCGCTACGTGTACGAAGAGCCCGACGTGTTCAATCGTGAAGCGGTGCCGACGCTCACGGCTGTCGGACTTCTCGGTCGTCAGTACCTCGGCTGGCCAGCGGACGATCGGCGAGTCGACAAAGGGCTCGAGTTTCTGCTCACGCACAAGCCCGAGTGGCGGCGTGGCAAGACCGACGTCTACTACTGGTACTACGCGACGCAGGCGCTGATCCACGCCGGCGGCCCACGTTGGCCGGAGTGGAACGAGGTCATGCGCGAGCTGCTCCCTGCCAACCAAGTGAAGGACAACAAGGAGCGCGGCAGTTGGGACCCACGCGAGGACGCCTGGGGCGCGTCGGGGGGCCGACTCTATATGACCTGCCTGTCGATCTACACGCTCGAGGTGTACTACCGACATCTGCCGCTGTACCAGCAGCGGGCGACGCGGTAGTGGAAGGGTGCGTGACTCCCCTTCCTGACGCCCTTACTCCTTCGCGCGTTTGAAGCTAAATGCGACATAACGAAACCCGCGCGGCGTGTCGTAGATCGCGGCGCCGCTGGGGGTGGCGTACTTCATCATCGCCTCGGCCGAGGGGACGCCCGAATCTTCCAGCGCGTCGCGCAGCCAACGCATCGGCGGGGCGAACTCGGCCATCTGGTTGAGTTGCTCGCGCGAGGCGTCCGACGAGCCGGCGGCGTGCCATTGGCGGAACTGTGCGACGGGGTCTTGATACATGAGGATGCGTCCCTCTTCCCCGCCCACCGTCGCGGCGCCGAGACGATTGATGCGGTTCGCCATCAGTCGGAACGGCAGATGCTCGGCGAGCCGGTCACCTTCGCCGGCATGGGTGTCTAGGAGCTTTTGCATCAGTTCATATGTTTCGCAGAACACGACGTCGTCGCCGATGAGCGCGAGACAACTGATCACCATTGGCGCTTGGCCGGGTCGTGGCCCCTCCTCCCGTTGCTTCTGCGCCATCTCCTCAAAGAACGGTAGGACGAAGTACGGATGACCGTTGTGGTCACGCTGTTCCAAGTTGGCGCCGACCTTATTCAACACGGCCTCAACAACCGTCAGCGCCTTCTCGGGTTCATGGGTCTCAAGAAAGATCGCCCGTGCTGGGGTCACGCGAGGCGCGGCCCCTTCGGGAGTCTCGCCGTATGCCTGTAGCGAGACGAACTTTCCGGTGAAATGCTCGATGAGTTTTGTCGGCGTCACACCGGCTCTCTCGGCGAACCGCTTTTCGGCGTCTTCGGCGAAACGCC